CAAGACCTCCTGAGAGTATTTGGTACCTAAAAAGCATATGTTCAAAATATATGATTGGAGATGCAAATAAATTTATACTTTTGGAGGCCTGGACAAGAAGCAAAGTGACACTTATAGATAACACCACTAGGAGAGTGCTAGGATCAGGTATGATTGGAAATACATATATTTTTTTGATTGAAAATGTTCTATTGGTAAAAATCTTGAAACATAACATGCTAAGTATTAGTCAACTTTGTGACAAGAGGTTTAACATAAAGTTTTTACCTATAAGCTATATTATAAGACTAAATAGAGTTTATGTGTTGTATGGAGATAGGGTAAATAATATTTACATGCTTGATTTAAATCTTGGTAAATCTTCTAATGTTTTTTATCTAAAAATTATTACTAATGAATCTTAGTTATGACCTAGAAGACTTTATCAAGCAAGCATGAAAAAATATAAGAAGATTACCCAAAAGAAATTAGTTAGAGGCGTACCCAAATTAAACTTCACTAAGGATCACATGTGTGGTGAATGTCAATTAGGAAAATAAGTTAAGTCCACCTTTCATTCAATTAAGGATGTTAGAACTAGCAAACCCTTAGAAGTCCTTCACATGGATCTCTCAGACCTATTATCACTATAAGTCTTGAAGGAAAAGCTTTTGGGTATGGGATTATAGATGATTATTCAAGGTTCACTTGAATTAGATTCTTATCATAAGAGTGAATCATTTGAAGAGTTTAGAAATTTTTTAATTTGATTCGGAGGAAGCTTGGTTGTGAAATTCGTGCAATTCATAGTGAACATGGAGAAGAATTCAAAAATAAAAAATTTAAAGTTTTCTATAAAGTGCAAGGGATAGATTACAACTTTTTAGCTCCTAGAACTCCTCAACAGAATGAGATTATTTAAAGGAAGAATAGAACTTTGGTAGAAGCCACTAGAGCCATGTTGGCTGAATATTCACTTCTTAAATATTTTTGGGCTAAAGTATTTAATACATGTTATGTTTTAAATAGGGTGAACATTAGATCTAAGCTGAACAAGATACCATATAAACTTCTTAAAGGTAGAACACCCAACCTCTAACACTACATATTTTTGGATGTAAATTAATTATTTATAACAATATGAAAACTCTTTTAGGAAAATGTGATCGTAAATCTAATGAGAGAATTTTTTTGTGATATTCAAGTGTTGAAAAATCCTATAGAGTTTTTAATAAATGAACTTTGGAAACAGAGGAGACAACACATTTAGTTTTTGATGACATGATATTTATAGAGGGTCAAAGTTGGAACAAGAACATATTAAAGAGAATACCTAAGGAATTGTAAATGTAAATCTTGAATAAAGGTTGAAACAAAAAATATGTTGCCTATAGAATGAAAATATCCTAAAGGCCATCCTAAAGATGTGATTTTAGGAGACCCGATTGAAGGTATTAGGACTAGGCATTGTCTTAGCAAAGAAGTGAACCACTGAGCATTTATTTCAATTATTGAATCCACCAATATGAATCAAGCACTTTCAAAGAATTTTGGATTTAGTTATGCAAGAAGGCTTTAATGTATATTAGAATTATTAATAAACATAGTTCTTTAAAATATAAAGTAAGCTACTTCAACAATTATAGTTCATAAATAAAACATAAATCATTAAAACTTAAAATTAAATTAAATCATTTGTCCTACAAAACATGAAATTAACTTTTAGATAACTCAATCACCAATTATATAGGATACATATAAAACAAACACCTAAGAACACATACTAAATTGTTGGATAAGGCAACCAACTCTAGGGTTATTCCGAAGTAGTGTTTTGTGGTGTGTGTCTATGTGTGATTTTACTTCCTTACATATTTATTGATATGGTTTGTACTTTCTGGTGGATGCATGATGGTTTGAGTATTTACTTTTTATAGAACTATGTTATGTGTCATGTAATGATGATGATGATATATATGCATTGTTTGTATTCTAACTGCTACAGAAGTAAAGTCTTTTTCTTTTAAATGTAAATGTAAATTTGTAGTGTTATAAGTATGTAGAGTTGTAAAGTCTAAATAAAGCTGCTTATTATTTAATAAAGAAATTCTAAAGAATGTTTCTTCTTTGAAGATTATTTCTTTTGGAATTCTATAGCAGCTTGTTCATACCTAGTATAGCCCAAAGACCTAAATTGGAAGAATTGTGTATTTTATTACCAAAGCCTCTAATTTATTTAATTAAATAAAATTAGTAGAAGCAACTATAAATTATTTCCTTTCAATAAATATAGACTATACTCATTCTCACATCAACATCAATCTATTCCACTAGGCTCCACACTACAAAAAATAATAAAAAATGTAGAAATAAAAAGAAAATCTAAAAATTCTAATTAGCCACACTCCACTAGATCTTGAAAATTATTTTCATCTAAATATGTTCTTTAAACCAACTAAATATAGACTCATCAAAGCCTTTCTAGGAGTCATAATCAATCATCAAAGGTAAATACATCTGTCCCTTTGATAATTTAATTTGGGCAATCTATGACTAGATTTAGGTGAAATTAGAGGAATTCAAACCTAAATTGGAAGAATTGTGTATTTTTTTAATTTATCTACCAAAGTCTCTAATTTTTTTAATTAAATGAAATTAGTAGAAGCAACTATAAATCATTTCCATTCGATAAATATATATTATATTCATTCTCACATCAACATCAATATATTCCACTAGGCTCAACACTACAAAAAATAATACAAAATGTAGAAAATAAAAAGAAAATCTAAAAATTCTAATTAGCCTCAATCCACTAGATCTTGACCCTTTCCAAGACCTAAAACTAATAAAAGTTAGATAATGAGCTTATAAAGCCCAATAGGACTAAGAAACTTATTTCAATTCAATGTTTCAAAAGTTAATATGCATGCTCATCTCTATTAATAGCAATCAATAAAAATTATGATCAATTAGTAGTGATATAAATTATTACACTAAACTCCATAATCACTATCATATACTGAAAGATTAAGTACATCTATTCTATATCAAATAATCAATACAGTAGCAAGTACAATATTATTAGTTGTATTCATTGTATGCTATATGTATGAATCAAGAATGATTCTATCAATTTTATCAATTCAACTATCATATGTAAATAATGCATTAGTAAGCTAATTATCCACTATTTCTATGATTATATTATTGTGAAATATATGTGTATAAGGCTCCATATGAATTTATGTATGCATTTAAATATATGCATCTATATTATATGAATTTATTCAATAAGGCATGCCATACAACTTTTAAATGGTGTTTCATTCTTCTATCTATCTCATAAATTAAACATCATCAGCTAATCATACTTTTCAATTATTTTTATCAATTATTGAGCATAACATGTGGCTTTTAACAAATAAATAAAGAGTGATCACTCTCTGCCCTGAGTTTATGTCATTTAAAGTTTTTTATGATTAGTTATGATTTGTACAAGTTTAACACATTTTAATGATTTAATGAATGGAATTTCTTATTTTTTACTAAATAAACTCCAAACCTCCTAAAATCTTCTTTTAATGTCATAAATGACTTCAAAGGATAATTATAAGTGTTTAAAATTATTTTAAAAAATTTAAATATTTTTAATTTTTTAATTTATCTTGGAACTTCTATTATGCTTTTAATTCTAAGAAGTATAACACTTAGAATATATTTTAAGATTTAATTTAGATTTATTATAAATTATTAAAAAACTTAGGTTATTTATATGTGTCAATCCTGGTTTCACTAATTAAAAGACCAAACAACCTCCAAATGTTATAAAATTTGAAAATTATGTTAATCTAAATATGTTCTTCAAACCCGCAAAATATAGACTCATCAAAGCCTTTCTAGGAGTCATAATCAATCATCAAAGGTAAATACATCTGTACCTTTGATAATTTAATTTGGGCAATTTATGACTAGATTTAAGTAAAATCAGAGGCATTCAAACCTTTATATATACATAAACATTCCCAAAAAAATAATCCATAACTATGTGTAGATTAAGAGTTATAAATTTCTAAAGTTTTGGATAAAATTATGATCCAAAACTTTAAAAATTTATTTCACAAATATCTAATGATCATAAAACTACAAACAATTAGCATATATAGCACACATGCACCCTCATTTGCGCTGTCCAAATTTGAGCTTAATTGGACCTCTACTTAAAGAGTAATTATATAAATTTAATTTACAATCAAACTCAAATTACTCACTAATTACTTTTTAAAGCATTTGAAATAAATTTTAAAATAAAATTGGGCTCAACAATAAATTTGTGTAAGAATTGGATTTATGGAGAATTTAAGAAGTTCTTGAAGATTTTTGAATTATTTTTAATCAGATAAATCAATTTAGGTCTCTGGGGTGGAATAAACGCATAAACGAAGACCGCTCTGCCCTAATTTTATGCCACTCTTGAGCTGCCTCTGCCTTTCCGTCAGGGAGGGCTCCTCCCTCCCATGATGGCTTTTTCTACTCAAGAGTTTCCTCCTTTCCCCAACTCCTCCATTTTGGGCACTTCTCATATTGGTTTTTCTTATGCCGATAATGTTTCAGCTTCCGCTTCCAAACCAGATGATTTCCAGGTTTCCTTCTTCTCCCCAAGACAAAAGCTCTCCTTTATATTTAATGACCTCACTGAAGGCAAATCTCTCTGGACATCTGCCCTTATTGGTTACTCGCTTGGTCCTCATCCCTACTATGAGAGGCTTCTAAAAGCCATGTAGAACCTCTGGAATCTCAAAGGATCTCTGACCTAACTCTCTCTTGCTGATGGTTTCTTTCTCCTGAAGTTTTCTACCTCAGAGTACCTGGAGATGGTATATTTGGAAGAACTTTGGTTCCTTTTGTGGAAACCATTCATTATTCAGTGCTGGTCCTCTAAGTTCAAACCTAAAAGGGATGAGTCAACTCCCATTCTGATTTGGATCAAAATAGTGGATTTCCCCTTAGCTCTCTGGACTATGACGGGTATTTTGGGAATTGCAAGCTACATTGGTATACCGCTCTCTGTGGATTCTCTTACTACAAAGCGCACAAGGTTGACATTTGCAAGGGTATGTGTTCAAATCACTAAATACTCTCCCCTCCCTGATGAAATTCCATTGGAGATTGATGGTGAGGACTTGATTTTGAAAGTTATATATGACTGGAAGCCCAATAGATGTGAAGGGTGTGGCTCCCTGATACATCCTTATTCTATTTGTACCAAAATCATAACCCTCAACCCATTCTTCCTCCTCAAACCCCCAAAACCAGAGGAAGAAGCTCATCTAGGCTTAGATCCTCTCGACCCCACAGATCCACTTCCAAAAGTTTATCCTACCTCCAGAAACATACCCGCTACCCACCCTTCCTCCTCTATTTTGAACTCTTCCAATCCTCAGTCGGGCCCTATTAACCTATAGGATGTTCCTGAGTCTAGGCCTCCTTCCTCTTTATTTTGAACTCTTCCAATCCTTAGCAAGGTCCTGTAAACCTATAGAAGGTTCCTACATCTGGGCCTCATCTCCCTCTTATTAAACCATCTCTTTTACCGAACCTTAATTCCCCCACAGAAAAAACCTCTTCTTCTGAGCAACCTGCCTCTCTATGCACCTTACCAGCTCCTAAAATTCCTTTAATTAACAAGCTTGCCTCCTTGCAATCTGAAGAATCTAATCCCCCTAATTCTCTGGATATCCATTTGAATAATGAGACCTCTTTCTGCACTAAATCGGCCGATGATCCGCCTGATTTAAGTAATTTGAATAAAGCCCCTTCATACTCCAAAGCTGACAAAGGAAAATCTCCAAACAAAGCTAAACCTCCAAAGGGTAAATCAGCCAAGAAACCCAAAGCCACAAAGTCCTGATGTCCTTGCCATCTTTTGCTAGTTGGAATGTTAGGGGTTTTAACAACCCTGATAAAGTGCGGTTCTGTAAGTCTTTGATCAATACTCAAGCTCTCAAGTTATTATGTATCCTGCAAGCTAAAATCTCTCCTATCTCTGAAGTAGACCCATGGTTTTTAAATTCTCACTTGCTTTTTGAGAATGAAGGTAGTTGTATTAATTTTTTCGATTCTACCCTAGTAGAATTTCGTTAAAATGGGACTCCTCTGCCTTTTCCTTCAACGAATTACTTACCTCTCCCCAGATTATTCATGGCATTCTCTCTGTGGGATCTTTTCCCACCATTTACCTATTAGTTTTTTATGCTTCTAACATCTTGGATGAGTGTAGAAATTTATGGAATCAATTGATTGACTTAATCCCTTCTCAGGATCAACCTTGGGTTATTCTTGGTGACTTTAATTGTTGCAGATTTGAAACTGAAAAAGCTACTGGCTCTCTATTAACTGATAGTAGATTGGGGGAGCTGAATAATATGGTTTTTTATTATGGTGTTCAAGACCTTTCTTTGGTTGGCCTTTTCTATACATGGTTTATCCAAAGGGTTGACAACCCTATTCACATCAAACTTGATAGAATTATTGTTAACTCTATTTTATTGGATTGCTGGCCTTCTACTTATTACAAAATTGATACTCCATTAGGCTCTGACCATTCTCCCTTAATCTTCAAACCTTCCCATGACAAACCTATATCTGCTAGGTTTATGTTCAAAAATTATTGGATCAATATGGAAGGTTTTTGGGATGATGTTTTTTCAGCATTTTCTATTAGGACTCCTAGATTTCCGTTTGCTTCATTCTACCATAGTTTGAACTGTCTTAAAAGGATCTTGAAGAACAAAAATTGGGCTTCATCTTACTTTCTCTCTAGTTCTATTCTGGAACTTAAAAACAAACAACATAATTTCCTTTTAGAGATTGAAGCTCATCCTTTATGTGGGGAGCTCAACCATGACTTGAAGTGTATTAATGAAAATCTTGCTTCTTTGCGATCTTCTTGGTCCTCCTGGATATTTCAAAGAGCTAAAGCTTTATGGTTTACTCATGGTGAAGATGATATTGGCTTCCTTTATGCCAAACTTAGAAGTCGGAATAATAAGAACTGGATTAAGGAGATCTCTACCAATGAGGGACATTTTACTTCTTTTTTTGATATTTCAAAGGCTATTTTCAATCAATTTAAAGAACTCTATAATGCTCCTCGAGCTACTCTTGAATTGCCTTTACAAATTCCTTCTGGTAAGATGGTTCATCCTCATCTTCACAATATGTTAGTAGCTCCTATTTCTTATGATGAAGTTAAAAATGCGGTTTTTGATGGTAAAAAGACTTCTGCACCTAGTCCAAATGGTTTTTTTATGCTTTTTATAGGAAAACTTGGCATATTATTGGTACACAAGTGTTTAATGATGCTAAAAATTATTTCTCTTCTGGTTCTCTTCCTAAAGAGGTAAAGGCCACTGCAATTACATTGATTCCAAAATGCTCTCATGCTTCTAACATTAATGATTTTAGGCCTATTTCTCTTTGCAATGTTTTTTATAAAACTATGGCAAAAATGAGTGCAAATCGGCTTAAAATTGTTCTTCCTCTTATTATTCATGAAAGCCAATCGGGCTTTATCTCTAATAGATGCTCTACGGATAATATTATTCTGGCCTCTGAGATCCTTAGAGAATTCAAGGGTTCTCATAAAAGTTTTTGTGCAAAGCTTGATATTAATAAGGCTTTTGATTCTGTTTCAAGAGAATTTCTGATCGTTAGACTTCTTCAAAAGGGTTTTCCTGAAGTTTTTGTATCTTGGATTAAAGGTTGTATTTCTGATATGCATTTCTCTATTTGTTTGAATGGCTCTCTTGAGGGGTTTTTTAATTCCTCGTCTGGCCTCCAGCAAGGATGCCCCCTCTCTCCCTTATTATTTTGTATTATTGTGGATGTGCTATCTAATATTCTCCACAGCACTTCTAATGCTATTTATTTCAAGGGTATTACTTGTAAAGAGAACTACATTAATCACCTGATATATGCTGATGATCTCCTAGTTTTTGGAGTTGTTTCCTGAGATAATGCTGTTGGTTTGAATAGTTGTTTGCATCACTTTGGTTCTATCTCTAGTCTTCAAGTCAATTCTTCCAAAAGTTCTATTGTTTTCTCCAACAATGTTCATGACATGACATGCAAATTATCTGTAATGAACTTGGGATTCACCAAGTTAACAATTCCTTCATCTACTTGGGAATTCCAATCTCTTCAAAAAGACTCAATTTTTCTCACTTCCAACCACTATTGAGCAAGATTTCAGCTCTACTTGCTGGTTGGAAAGCCAAGTTTCTTTCTTTTACAAGTAGGGTCCAGTTTCTTAAATTCACTATTTCTAATACTATCACTTATTGGATTAGAGGATCAGTCTTATAGAAAGCTTATTGTGCTATTATCAATAAACTTTGCTCAAGATTCCTTATTCATAGCAATTTGAATGAGAGGAAATTACACCTAATTTCCTAGTCTAAGGTTACTCTTCATAAATGTTTTGGAGGCCTCGACATTCCTTTTGTTGATGCTCTCTATCATGGGGTCAATTACTCTATCATTGGCAGATTTTATAAATCCCAAAACCTATTAAGCAATTGGTATAAAGCTAAATTTGTTTCACCATGGAAGCCCCCTCCTCCCCATGCCTCCAAGTTTTGGAAAAGGATTCATGTTACTGCCATTAAAATTAAAGACAACATCTCCTCCTCTATTTCTCCAGTAATTTTTCTATGATTTGGGACCTATGGCTTCATGGTAATTTGTTCTCTGATCCCTGCAACACGCCAATTTTTGTTGATAAAATGGTGAAAGATTTCATTCACAATGGTAAATGGCAACTTCCTAGTAATATCTCTTATGCTCTTTTAGCTGCCATCTCTGACTTTGAAATCAAGGAGAATTCTGAGATTCCTTGGAAGGGCTCTTCTAAACTAGCTTTTAGAGAATTTATTACTCTTTTTTACTCTCATTTGACGAAGGTTAACTGGTTTAATTTCATTTGGCATAAAAGATATGCCCTTAGATATGTCTGTTTTACTTGGATGGCTATGATCAGGAAACTCAAAACTGTAGATAATTTATTATATAAGGGGATTCAGGTTCTTTATGAATGCTCCTTTTGCCTTAACAATCCTGAAAATCACAACCATTTATTCTTTGCTTGTGACTTCTCTTTCAATTTCATTAAGACTATGCTACCGGATCTTAACTGCTTTTTACTGTGGCCTAATCTCTCTCAGATTTATGATTTCATTGAGCATTCTGAGCTTTACAGTAGGTTGGAAAAGGAATTTTGTTATTTATCTATTAGGTGCATTATTTATCATATTTGAAGGGAGAGAAACAGCCATCATTTCTCTAACTTGAGGACTAATTCATTTAGAATTACCTACACTATCTCCTCTGCTATTCACTTCAAGCTTTCTAAGTGGAAACACAATGAATTATTACTGCAAAGGTTTACTGGTATCTAATTCTCTTGGGATTACTGTCACTCTTATTATGGGGAATTTTGGTTTTATGGCTGTTTTAACTATTCTAGATGGACTACCTGGTTCTGTTGGGAGTGGTGGAACGTTTTTGATTCTTCAGTTTTTGAATTTTGGTTCCATTTTTCTCATTATTGAGATGGTTAACTTTAAGACTACGGTGGCTCTTCTCTCACATTCCTGTATGGACCATTTTTTTGGGAGCTATGTTTTCAAATTTCTGTTAACCTGCAATGGAAAATTTTGGCTTGTTGGTAGTTACAGGTGGTGGTTTTTTGATAATCCGATGATGATGAGCAAGGTCGAATCCATCAATTCTAGCCATGGATGTCCTGTGTGGCTACCGAGCTATTATTCTAAATGGAATTATTACTGCTGGTTGGAGATTCTGTGATGGCCATTTTATCTGCTCTGATGTGTCCCATTTCTCTCTGGCAACCCGAGCCTCCTCAGCAGTCTCATGGGTTATATACTTATTATTTCTGATGTCTGGATTCTGGCCTTTTTGCTCTGAGTCTTTTGGATTGTGTTTTCCTTTTGCTGCCAATTTTTCTGGCACTTGGATGTTTTTTGTTAGACGTCGTCTTTTGTTTTCTTTCTTATAGGCTTACTTTTAATTGATTTTTTGTTTTTAATATATGGACTTCTACCTCGGGTTTACCAAAAAAAAAATTAATCATTTTTCCTAGCTGGCACAATGATTTCCAATCATTGGCCATCATTACTCGTAGTGACGTAGTGGATCAACACGCTAAAGCTTTAATCAATTACTTATCTGCAAGTGCAGCTATTCGGGACCATCCAATCCATATGGATCAAATGGGCCATCCCAATTTTGTCTCGTAGCTGCATGTCAAAAAGAAGTTGGTTCAAATCTAGCCAAATATAATGAATGATTTGAGAAATTTTGGGCCACTTGACCATGATACACGTGCGATAGGATGGTCCAAATTAATCCAAGGAATTTTAGTTCAAATTGAACAAAAAATTTAAATGCTCATAACTTCTTGTATACTCATCTAATTTAAATGAAATTTGAAACATAACTTATTGGTACCCTAAGGCTCCAACCTATGGAGTTTGGGGGCTTCATATATTGAGATCTTAAAGTAATTTTAATTTGAATTTTAGACCTTTAAATGGGAAAATAACTTTGAAATTTTTTAATTTTGGGCTCTATGGAGTCCTAGAGATGTTCTCAAGAACTTTATTAGACTCCATGCTCTAAAAACCACTGGATTGGAAGTTGATTGGATTGGATCACTTTCTCTCTCATCTACCTCTTAGACTTTAATTGGAGAGATCTCAAGCTAAAGAAGGCTGAATTTTTTTAAGGGAGGATTAGAGGATTTCTAGAAGGCTAAAGGCTTAATTTTTTTATGGGAGGATTACTAATTTTAAGAATTAAATTAATTTATATTTTTTATCAATAAGTTTGTGGCATTGTGCCACCAAGCTCGAGGAAGAAGGGCTCCTTAGGACACGTAGTCACATAGCCATGAGTAGTCCATCGTAAAATCTTTATTGATGTGGTTGAATTAGTGATTTTAATTTGGTTAAATAATTAATGAAAGTTTGTTAGGGATGTTAGGCTCGTTATGAACTAGCCCAAGGCTAACCAAGAGAGAGGTGAATTTGTATTTTAAATATCTTTAAACAAAACTCAAACTAAACCAAAATTCACCACAAAGAAAACACAATGTGTAAATTAAATGCGAAAATAATAAAGGAAAGAATACACCATATTTATAGTAGTTCGGTCAATTTACCTACGTCCACTCCTCGGAGGCACCCTCCGAGTATTCCACTAAACAAAGTGTCTCTCCTTTAGCCCCTACAGCTAGGCGGAGAAGCCCTTACAAAATCACTTCCACCTTCCCCGGTGCGGCGGAGTAGCCGAGTATTTTGACACCAAAGAAATCTTCTTCTTTCGTGAACTTCCCTCAAGACAAGCCTTGAATCTGATGGTACTAAGGTGCCAGCTCGCCAGAGCAACCGTGTGGAATCGCCCTCCACACTCCCTTGAAACCCCTTCCAAGGATCTTCTCCCCCTCTCAAACTCCACCCTTTCCTCTCTCTCTTTCAAGCTCTCTCTTTAAGTTCCCTTCAAAAGAACGAAGCTACAATGGCTGCCAAAGACACTTACAAAAGTGCCTTGTCAAAAGCTTAAATAAATTATCTCAAAACGAGATCCTTAATGCAACTTGCAGACTTTATCGTCAAGGCTGATATGAATATTGTCCTGGCCAATCAGTACATAATAAGCTGAATTAGCTGGGATGATTTGGTATGATCGAAAGAAAATTGGTTACATCGTCCAGGCTGATACAATATCGTCCTGGCCGATTAGTTCAAATCTAAGGACAATCGTCCTGATCATCACCATGAATAGAGTCTGGCCGATATCAATCATCCAGGACATCGTCCTGGCTAATCCTGTGGTCGGTCTGGTCGATGTGATCATATCAATCAGCCTTAATGGCTTTCTATAATTACCAAATTAAATTAGGCATAATTATGTTGCATCATCCAGTCAGATGTTTAGATCGTCCTGGTCGATATTCTAAAATAAAGAATACCTAAATTGATCATGGTGTCTGATTCTTTCTTAATTGAGCCTATCGTCCGGGCTGATACAAGTATAGTCCAGGCCAATCATCTTAATGATGTCTGCCTTAATGAGGATGATGCCCTAATTAGGGTTTCTATTTTTGAACCAATCATCCAGGCCGATATAAATATCATCCTGGACGATGTTACAAAAAATAATAAACTCTAGGGAATAGACTAAAAATCTTCCAAGATGTATGTGTGCAAAGTTACATATCATCAGAAGCCACACCAATTACAATAGACTCAAGAAAGGAAAATGGTACAAGCTGACTCAGACCTAGTCTACCCAATCTTGAGCTGGTTCCAAATTGTAGTCTGGTCTTCTGAACCTGAAATGTCAATAGATAAGGCAGTCGTAGAGAAATAAGGCTGTTTGCTATCATCAAAATCATAATCCATGAAAATAGATCTGCAACAATTAAAAGTAATTTAATTTTGATGTTTAACTCTTCATTGAATCCATTCGTGGCATTATGCCACCAGGCTTGAGGAACCATACCTCCTTAGGACATGTAACCTCACAGCCTCGAGTAGTCTATCCAATAAACATCATTTGTGGAGTGGTTGTTACATATTAAAATATTGGTTAAATAATTTTATTAATCAAATTAAAATTTTCTGGAATTTTAATGAGTTATTGAATCTTTTAGAATTATTGAATTTTTTTAATAGTAATTATTAAAGGGGTAAAAAATTTGACTCTTCAAATTATAGTTGATTTTGAAAGTTTCAGATTTTTAATAAATATTATACCTTATGATGAGTAATTATACTATTAGTATGCTTAATTTAGAGTTATCTATAAAAAGTTATAAATTTTAGAAGTTTGGCCCTTTTTTTTTTTGAAGATTGCAAAGATGCATTAAGAAAAATTTTTGATGTTTGGCCTTAGATTGAAATACAATTGACCAAAAAGTTGACTTCTTGA